CTTGGGTTTGAACTGTCTGGCGAAAAGAAGGTATCTCCTGATGTCATCAAGAGAGTAGACTCGGTCAATTGACTCCTCAATTCTTGAATGCAAGTCTACTATCCGCCTGGCAATAGCATAATCTGTAACCTAATTCCAAACAAGAAAAGCTTTTCTTCAGTCCCAGCAACATCTAATCCAGATAACCCCAGAACCCACAGTTTAAAAAAAAAAGCTCTAATATGCCACTGAAAATATTCACAGATACCAAGTTTCTGAGCATTGTTTGTAAGCTTGATTAAAAACAAACTTTCAAATGTGTTATCTTTGTCCTGTACACAAATATACGTGAAGGACTGAGCAAAATTTAATAACCACAGAACATGTACAGTGCCTCTTGTATATGCCAGATGCTTTTGCCTTATGTATGTCTAGAAGTATTAGCTCATGCAAATCCTCAAAAACAATAGTGATATTAACTCTTATTTACAGATTCACAAACCTGAAGCCCAGAAGTATTTCATTTCACAAATTTGATCCTTTCCACAGCTCAGGCTGCAAAGTGAGTTGGACTAGAACAGAATCAAATTGAATGGCTAGGTTCAACATTTCCCTCACAGGGAAATCAGGCCTCGGTTCTCATCCAGTTCGGTTTGTGGTAAGAATCTTGGAGAGAACGGAGTTCATGAACTGAGGTACCCAAGTAATGTGTAATTTGCCCAAATTCACATACTAAGTGCTGAAGACTGGATTTGGGTAGTCCAATGGAGATTTGGCAGGCTCCAGTGGTAACAACTGAGAAAACTAATCAATAGATATAGACAGCAAATGGGGCAAAATGTTACAATCTGAGTCTGACAGAGGCTATCTGGATGTTCTATGTATTACTTCCAGTTTTTACTCTATGTTCAAATTTATTTCTTGTAACTCTTAAATTTAACCCCACCTCCACCCCGTACCAGGGAATGATCCTAGAGCCTTCATACTGAGCTACTTCTTAAAAGACTTAAAATTTTGAAAACATGGATTTACTAAGCTGCCCAGGCAGGACATAAACTTGTGATCCTCCTACCTTAGCCCCAGAAGTCTGCACTGTACTGGAGTGCACCATGCCACTTTACCTGGCTTAAATTTTTCTAAGTAGGGACAAGGATATAGGATATAGTGCACTGGCACAGTGCCCACCTGGCAAGAGGAGGTCGTCAAGTTCAATTTCCAGTATCAAAAAAAAAAAAAAAAAAAAATTGTAACAAAATTTGGGTGTATAACCTGGTCTCCTTTATTCCCCAAACTAATTTAATAAGTCATACACAAGTAAAAATGTATGAAAAAAAAAAAGACAACTCCCAATTATGTGGTGTTAAACACCTATGCATATGTGAAAGGAAAAAGCCCCAAGCCCTTTAAACATCCACACAGAGGGAAGCGGCTTTTCTTAGACAGCAGCTAATATTTCCCTAGTAACAAGAGTTCTGGAATGGGCCTAATGAAACAGAGGCTTGCACGCTCAGCAGTTAACAGTAGAGTATATAATTTTGTACTGTGTACATTTGAATTGATATTAAATATTTAATTACCAATAGTTCGAATTTTTCATTTTTTTGAGGGAATGGTTAAAAAATAAAAGAAAAACATAAAACCATGCTCTTTAATAATAAAGTAGGCAGGGATATAACTCATTAGTACAGTGCTTGCTGGCAAGTGTGAGGTTGTGAGTTCTATTCCCAATACTACAAAGGAAAAAAAAAAAAAGATATATACACACACATATATACTTGGGATGGTTAGGAGTCAACTATATTTTTTCTTTCTTCTTATAAAAATGAAACCCAAAATACCTTGATATATTTCTATGAAATGGAACCAGTAATCTCAGTGACTTTATTTTGGAGTTGCTTACTAAATTTGCTGGCCAATCCCACGCTACCCTGAGCGGATGAAAGGTCAGTGTGCATAAACACACCAGCTGCTGCTGAGTGGTTTATCTTCAGGCCTTGTGACACACATGTACTCAAGTTGGAAACAGAAAAGGAAGAGCAATACACCATGTGATTACCTCGTTACATTCATCCACCAGGATAAAGAAGAGATCAAATCGAGACATAATGGGAGCAGACAAGTTTATATTCTGCTTTAGTGACTTGGACCTGTCATAGTGTCCACTGACTGGGTTTGCTGCCGCCAAAATGGACGTTCTGGCATTCAGGGTAGCCTGACCACAGAGAAGAAATTGTGAGATTTACAAAGAAACCCAAAATGGCCAATACACGTACAACAACAAAAACCAATCTCACTCATAATTAAATGGAAGTCAAGAAACCATTTGTCACCTATACCAAATTCAACTCAGACACATAGTGTAGCAAACAGGAACTCCTATAAGAATAATATGTGTGTACCCTTTAAGCCAGCAGTTAGAACTTACAGCTGGGAAAAGGAAGACTTGTGTTCAAGGGTGCTTACTACAGGTATAACACTGTTCATAACACAAGTGTGAAATAACCCAAATGCTGCTCTACTGGAGCATTGTAGAATCTAACTGTGGTGTACACAATCAAACACCATGGCAAATAATAAAGTTGATCCAGGATATGCTGATATATAAAGACTGCCAAAAATAAAATTATAACATTCCTATAAAGGGAATATACACGACACGTACTTTTGAATACGTATTGCCTTGGGCGTTATAGGAAAAATTTTTACTTTGGTGTACCACTTAAATTTTCTTTTTTAAACTCAGTCCCTGCGCTTACCTACACAGGTGCTTAATCCGCTGAGCTAACTTGCTGGCCCAACCCCCCTTATTTCCCTTTTTAAAAAATTTATTCCTATTTATTTTTAATTTTCTGAATTTCTTGCTGCTTTTTTTGCTCTACCTAGAAGCTTTGTACATAAAAAGTGATCTTAGAAGTTTTACCAATACTTCCTCTATGTTAGGCCATGGCAATATCCTAAATATAGAGTTTGAATAAAGAGTTCACAGGGCTATATTTTCCATTTTAAAAAGTACCATTTCACATCAAAGTAATGAATTTTATCAAGGTGAATTTCTCTAGTACTACATTAATCTACTAGACTAAGGAGTAATGCAACAGACATGGACAGACACACCTTCACTCCTGCTTTAGTGATGGAAATGGTCTGCTGTTCCATAGCTTCATGAATGGCAACTTGATCCCGCACATCCATCTTATCGAATTCATCAATACAACATACACCCTGGAACCCAACAGATCTAGTATAAGCGACTGCCTTGAGCACATAAAATGACAAACTCGCTAAGTCTGCTACCACAGAGATATTTCCCATTCTCCAAACAAGTGAAAACAGGTAAAGATGTCTAATTCCCTCTTTTATGAAAACTAGTTTAATAGACCCCAAAGTCAGAGGGAATAATATACCTTACTGTAAGAGCAAAAGTGAAATACACACTTATTACGCTTTTATTCAATGTTAAAACCTCATGTTAATCTGTGTCAAGAAATCCTGTGGTCATCTCAGCATTAAGTTTAGGCGGGGGATGTGAAGGGTAAAGGTGTTTAGCTATAACCTGCATGCATTCATAGATCTACGTGATAATCCCAGCACTTGGGCAGCTGAGGCAGAATCACATATTTGAGGCTGGCTTCTGCCTCACAGTGAATTCAAGGCCAGCCCAAACTATATATAGCGAGACTGTCTCAAAAGACCAAAAACCAAACAACAACAAAGCATAAGATTTAACTGACCTACCTGGGGACAACTCGCTTGGGTCCCCCTCCTGTCTCTCTCTCAGACAGGAGCTTTCTTCCCTTCAATAAATATATTCTGCTAATAATAATAATAATAATAATAATAATAATAATAAGATTTAACTGACCTACATCAAACACACATAAAGCATAATAACTTGCCTGTGTGCAGACCTACTCAGAGATGTCATTTGCAAAGGAAAAAATATGGCAAGTACTGGTTATAACAACCACACATTTTAGAGAACACAGAAAGTGCTGATTTACCATGATAAATCAGTTAAGTCTAGATTAATAAAACTGAATTAGGTAGTAAATAAAGCCTTTGTCCTAAGGACAACTTCTAATAGGAAGTGTAGGCTCTCACTGTTAGAGAAGAGGGGTATCTCAAGTTCTTTGTATCCCAGAATGTAAAATGTCCTTACGTTATCAGCCAGCATCAAAGCTCCAGCCTCAATAACAAACTCATGCGATTCTTCATCTCTCACAACGGCAGCTGTTAAGCCAGCAGCACTGGATGCTTTGCCACTGGTGTAGACAGCTCTGGGGCTGAACTCCTCCACGTGCCTGTGCAAGGTCATCATAAAGACTCATTGCTATGCGATTCTGCAGCATCCTTTCCAGGAAAGGCAGCTGACAGGGGCTATAGCAATGAAGAGTTTAAGTTTGACAGCAGCAGAAAGCTCAAGCAGTTTTGAACAGGAAACCTCATCTTCTTTTGTTTCTTAAAATTATTTTAATATATTCCTGTCAGATGGAAGATGAAAATGACACTGGACAAAAACTATCAATTTTAAAAGAAGTCTATAATAATGAACAGTTTTGGCCCAATCATCTATCATAGAATTTTGCAGTTAAGAACAAAAACAAGATGAAAGTTGTATGTGGGATTTAATGCAGAAATGTAAATTTTAATATTCCCAAAATAAACATTCCATATTAATAAAGCAGAATCATGCAACTACCTAAACAGATGTAGAAAAGCTTGACACTAAGAACATAAGACATTATCCTAAGCCTAGTCAACAGTTTTTCTTTAACCTGGTGAAAGGCATCTATAAATACCATGGCTAACACCATGTTTAGAAATTAAAGGCTGAATGCCCTTAAGGTCAGGAACAGACATATGCAATTCCTGTTAGTGTAACATTATACTGTAGGGATGGCCAGATAGCTCAGTGGGTTAAAGCACCTGCTTAGGCAAACACAGGGACTGGAGTTTGCAAACTGAGATGGCGAGTGAGGCTGGGCATGGTGGTGCTTGCCTGTAACCCCAGCACTTGGGAGGCTGAGAACAGGAGGATCACTACAAGTCCAACCTGTGTAGTGAGACCCTGTACTAAATACATAAAAAACAAAAACACTGACCAGGTTTAGGATAATGTCTTGTGTTCTTAGTGTCAAATGCTTTTCTACATCTGTTTAGGCAGTTGTATGATTCCTATGCTTTATTAATATATTGGGGATGTTAAAATTTACATTTCTCCATTAAATCCCACATGTAACTTTTGTCTTGTTTTTGTTAACTGCAATACTATAATCTCTAGCTAGAGCAATTTAGGCAAGAAAAAAAGGCATCCAGATCAGAAAGCAAGACTTCTTGTCAGATAATGCCAGCAGCCATGGGGCTAAAATGGTTTGTGACATTATGCAGTATAGGACTTGGGGAAAAGGAACAAAGTACACTGACACACAGCTGCCCACTGCTTCGCAAGCTTGCATCTACTATGTAACATTCGCTTGGTTGATGGCCATGTGTCTTCAATCAGAATTTTGTTAACAAATACATACACATACTCCTTAAGTGCATATAATTTGACCCAAAAATCTTTATGGCTAAATGAAAGCCCAGAAATAGGAAAATAACACCACACAGGAATAGCTCAGCCTGAACCATGGCAGGTCTAATACATCTGATACGGTTTCTTTGCTCCCTTGTGTTCTTTGGGCATGGTTAGAGTGTTTGTAGGCTTCCAGGTGAAGAACTGCAGATAACTGGTGCTGGATGGAGGAGCCTTATTTTTTTCCTATGGCAGCTTGTTATTTTTGTAACATGGTGACTGGGTTGAACAAAATGGAAGTACAGTAGTAACTGCTCTCCCCTTCTTCCTGGATGAGCGAGCAGATGATTAAACACTGATGTTAGCATTCTTGAACATTAAAAAAAAAGAAGAAAGCAAGACTTCTCTATTACACCAGCCACCAAAACGGGGCATGATGGTGCATACTTGTAATCCCAGCACTGGAGAGGCTGAGATAGGAGGATTACTAAGAGTCTGAGCTGCATAACGATACCCTATGTCAAACAAACAAACAAACAAACAAACAAATAAATGAATGAATGATTTTGAAAAATTAAAAAAAAAAAAGAAATACTATGGAAAGTTTCAGTTTGGAAAGATGAAAAAATTCTAGAAATGGGTGGTGGTAGTGACACCTGTACAATGTGAATGTACTTCATGTCACTGAACTGTAAACCTAAAATATGGTTAAAATGGTAACTCTTATGTATACTTTACCACCAAAGGAGTGGTGGAAGGGGAAATCTTACAGAGCAATGGTCACAGGAACACTATTTATAAAAGCCAAACAATTACAAATGCCCCACATTTCTGTTATCTGAAGAGTAGATAAATGTGGTCTAAACACATACAACGGGGTATTATTTAGCAATAAAAGGAGATGAAATACTAATACATGCTACAACATGGCTGAAAAATTTATGCTAAGAAGAAGAAATCATTCACAAGACTTTCCATATTATTCCACTCCATTTACATGGAGTGTTTTTGATAGAGACAGTGAGGTAGACGATCAGATGCCTGTAGAATGGGGAGGATGGGGAGTGCCTGCTAAAGGGCAGGTACAGATTTCTTTTTGAGTAATGACAATGTTTTAGGCTTATTTCAGTGATGGTTGTGCAATTCTGCAAATATACTAGAAACATTAGGATACTTTACAAGTGAATTTTGTGATATGTAAATTGTGTTACTGTAAAGATGCTAAAGCATTAGATAGAAAAGGCCCAAGAAAATGACTCACTATAATACTGTTATTAGAGGTAACATTACAGTACTTCTGGGGGACTTGGAGGGAGCAGAGGGAATGGGAAATGAAATTCTTTCAACATACAACAATTACCTTCAAAGCTAAACTCCAGTCTAGGAGGAAGGGAATAGAGCTCAAGTGAGCTCAAGGGTCAGAGTACTTACTTGGCATATAAAAGGCCTTGAGGTTAAGCCCTCATATGGCAAAAACAAAACACAAACCCTCTGATTTTTCATATATTTCAAGGAAATATTTAATCATAAAACTCTAAGTCAACTGAAAATGTTCTAGAATAGTACCATGTTATGAATTTCCTCAACAAATACAGAAAAAAACAGCAATAGATAACCATTTAAACAAGTAACAGGGCTAGGGAAATTATCAATTATACCAATGAAAAAGACTACTGTGAAAATAAACATGGGGGAAATGTTTAGGATACATTAAAATTAAAAATAAGGCAGGGGGCTAGGGATATGGCTCAGCAGCACAGTGCCTACGTGGTAAGCACAAGGTCTTAAGTTCAATTCCTGATACAAAAAAAAAAAAAAAAAAAAGGCAGGGATAGTGGTGAACACCTGTAATCCTAGCACCTTGGGAAACCGAGGCAGGAAGACCACAATTTTGTTTTTTTGAGACAGGCTCTTGTGATATAATTCAGGCTGGCCTTGAATTCACTTTGATCCTTATGACTTTACTTCCGAATGCTGGGATTAAGGGGTGTATATTCCCCTCCAAGGTTTATAATTCTTTCTTACCCTCAATCTGAAGCCCATTCTGGGAGCTGAATTCAAGGCCAGCCTGGGGAAGTTACTAGGATTGCAGTTTCAAAATAAAAAGGACTCGATGCAGTCAGTGTGAAGGCTTAGGGTTCAATACCAAGCACCAAAGAGAACAAGAAAAAAAAAAAAAAAAAAGCAAGCTGACACATTTACAATACTGAAAACAAAAATCCATGTATTCACTTTTTTTTGACACAAGGTCTCAATACAGAACCCAGGCTGGCCTTGAACTCACGATTCTCCTGCTGCTGGGATTCTAGGTGTTCACCACCACATCTGCCTTCATTTGTTCACTTTTATGGCTAGATTATACAAAGCTGACTACAGAATTGGGATTATAGGAAATTTTTTTCCTATCTCAAAAAATACTGGGTAGCCATGGTGGTACACCTATAATCCTGGCTATCTGGGAGGCTGAAAGCAGGAGGATCACAAGTTTGAGGACAGCCTAGTCAACTTAGTGAGATCCTATCTTAATACAAAGTAGTGATGGTATCTGCCTGTAATTTCAGCATTTCGGAGGCTGAGGCAGGACAGTCATGAGTGCAGACCAGCCTATACAACAAAAAGAAAAAAGGCCTGAAGAGCCAGCTCAGTATTAGCAGTCAGACACTGTTATTTCCCTTTATTTTTTTTAATTATTTATTTATACATTTATTTATTGTGTGTGTGGCCAGCTCAGCCCACCAGGGGGCGGGACTGGCTGGCATGTGGTGCTGGGGGATTGAACCGCGGTCCCTGTGCTTTGGCAAGCTTGTTCCAAGTAGGTGCTTTAGACCACTGAGCCATCTCTCCAGCCCCATGTTATTTCTCTTTATAAGGTATGATACAGGCAACACAGTGCTACTATACTTCCTACTCAAGATTGATTGCATTCTCTAACACAATTCAGGAACTACAGTTTTCCTGCTATAACTCCTTAGGTAAAAACTTACTTGAGAAACTGACTCTTAGCTGTACTTGGGTCACCAACAATGCAAACATTTATGTCTCCTCGAAGAGAGGTCCCTTCTCCTGTTGTCTTTGGAACACCACCGAAGAGCATCAGCAGGACACCTCGCTTTACCTCATCATTGCCTGCAATGATAAGGTACAAATGAAAAAACCAAGTTTTCAACCTGAAGTTACACAATTTCAGAGGAAACTACAAGGGCTTGTTTATCCACCAAAAGGCAGGAACAGCTGGTATAAAGCATGAGCCTGGGCTACAAATACCTGCCTGCTGATCTTAGTTCTTGTTCTGTGGGCTTACCTGATTTCAATGGCTTCTTCCACACCACACACGTCTGAAGTACCCATGCTTACTACATATCTAAGAGCCTTTCCTTGTCCATAAGTCCTATTTCCTGCAAAAAAAAACCCTATACCGATATCCTATCCCTCAAAGATCTCTCCTTGTAAATGTACTATATCCACCACGGCCTATCACACAAGTTCTTTTCCTTTTTAGTTTTTGGTGGTGCCTGGGATTGAACTCAGGGTATCTTGTATGCTAGCCAAACCTCTACTACTGAACTAAACCATTATGGGAGTTTACCTGCGTCTTGCCAATGATGGCTTTCCAGTTCTACAGTTTGACACTTTTTAAAAAATGTATTTAGTACGTACAGGGTCTACAGGGTCTCACTACATAAATGGAACTCATAGTGATTCTCCTGTTTTCAGCCTCCCAAGCGCTGGGATTACAGTCGAGTGCCACCACACCCAGTCTCAATCACAGGCTCAGTAAGCCCTGGAGCAGGGCCAGCACAGAACACCGGGGATCAAACCCCAGCTGCTGCATTCTTCTGCCTAAGCAGGTGCTTTAATCTGCTGAGCTATCTGGCCGAACCTTTCCCATGGAATTTCTGACTCTGAACTCCATCAACAAAGTGCTAGGTAAATTTACATAGACCATTCCTTAAAAGCAGAAAATTAAAAACCAAATACAGGGGCCAGCCTGATAGCTCAGTGGATTAAAGCACCTGCTTAGGCAGACATAAGGGATGCAAGGGTTGGTTGGGGGTTTGATCCCCAGCCTGCCATGCTGGCCCTGCCTCTGGGGTGTGCTGAGACAGCAACTGGGACTAGGTGTTGTGGCACACCTGCACGCCTGTAATCCTAGTGCTTGGGAGGCTGAAAACAGGAGAATCACTACAAGTCTGATCTGTGTAGTGAGACTCTATAGACCCTGTACTAAATACATAAAAAATAAATAAATAAAAATTAAAAAAAAACAAGTACAGTATATGACTGTAATCCAGGCACTTGAGAGACTGATTCACAAGGATTCTGAGTTTGAAAGTAGTCTAGGCTACACAGTGAATTCAGAGCCAGCTTGTACTACACATCAAGATCCCATGTTGAGTCCACTCCACTAACAAAACTTCTATTTATGATCTATGAAACAAAATGTGTTGAGTGTGATGGTTTTAAAATAGTCTACAGGGCTGGTGAGATGGCTCAGTGGTCTAAAGCACCTGCTTAGAACAAGCTAAGCCAAGCAAAGCACAGGGACCACAGTTCAATCCCCCAGCACCACATGCCAGCCAGCCCCGCCCCCTGGTGGGCTGAGCTGGCCACACACAAAAATAAATAAACAAATAAATAAATAATTAAAAAAAAAATAAATAAAATAGTCTACAAATTCTTTTGTAGTACTAGAGATCAAACTCACGACCTGTACTTGCCAGGTAAGCATTTATGTCTAGTTCTTTTTTTTTTTTTTTGGCAGAACCGGGGAATGAACTCAGGCCATTGTGCTTGCCAGGGAAGCACTTATTCCTCTGAGCCATCTCCCTGGCCCTTTGTCTAGTCCTTTTTATTCTTTTTTTCTCCAGAACTGGGGCCCTTTTGTTCTTAATTTAAAAAAAAAAAAAAGTATTTATTTAGTTATTTGATACAGGGTCTTGCCACACAGTTCAGACTTACAGTGGTTCTCCTGTCTCAGACTCCCCAGCACTAGGATTACAGGTGTGCACCACCTGTAATGCCCCTTTTCAGGGCTGGCACAGCGCACTCAGGGTTCAGGGCAAGCACGGCATGCGGTACCAGGGACTGAACTCAGGTCCTTGAGCTTGCCAGGCAGGTGCTTAGACCACTGAACTACCTACTCAGCCCTTTATTCTTTAATTTTGAGACAAGTTCCCACTGTCACTCAGGCTGGGCTCAAACTTACAATCCTCTTGCCCCAGCCTCCCAGAGTGCTATAATTATAGGCACAATATTTCTGATTTTAAAGACGGAACTAATTCTCCTGCTGAGTGGGCACACTTCAGTGACTTGCTTTTAGCAAATTCATGCGGCCGAAGTAAAAGGCTTAACTTTTGAGATTAGGATGTAAAATGTATTTCCACTACTTACTCATCATTTTGCTCTTGTATCATAAACTACTCTACTGAAAAGATATTCAAACAGCCCCATGAATCTTCTCATGGGAGGGAATTCTATTTCTGATTAATGACTAGCACTAAGTAGTAAGGATCAGCACAAAAATACTGATATTAAGGGAGGACTCTCTATAATGCATGAAGAATTAACATAAAAGATTTCAGCTGCTGCGTTCACTGATTTTTAAAATACAGAACAAGGTTAAATTTATTTTTTTTTTTAAATTTATTTATTTATTTTTTTAACATTTATTTAGTGTGTGTGTGGCCAGCTCAGCCCACCAGGGGGCGCAGCTGGCTGGCATGTGGTGCTGGGGGATCGAACCGCGGTCCCTGTGCTTTAGCCAAGCTTGTTCCAAGTAGGTGCTTTAGACCACTGAGCCATCTCTCCAGCCCAACAAGGTTAAATTTAAAATATACTATATAACCAGAAAAGAACACCCACAGTCTCACGAATTCTACCCTTATTCCTAGAAGGGTAAATGCATCCCCTCAATTTAGTCATACTCTTTTAATACACAAAGCAGATTTTAATCATTAAGTGGCAAGCAGCTAGCAATCGAGGTAGAAAAATATGAACAAAACTAAGTAACATGTAAAAACTTGTGACAACACAGCCATAACATAAAATTTAGTATTTTACCCATTCTTAACTATATTATTCAGTAGCCTTAAGTACATTATGTGAATAATTGTTACCACCATCCTTTGCCAGAATTTGTTTACTCTTCCCAAATGGAACTTCATTCATTAAACAGTAATTCTTGACTTCCCCTAGTCCCCCAAGTCTGACAGCCCCTGTTCTACTCTGTCTCTATCAATGTGCCTATTTTAGGTAGTTCACATAATCGGCATCATATTGGTTCTTTTGTAAACGACCCTTTAAGCCCACTAAAAACCTCTTCTGATCTGAGTTATTTGCTTTAACAAATCACTTCATTGTTCTCTATAGTCATTTCGACTGCAAGTTTATGCTACAAATAGACATAAACTTACCATGTATAGTAGGGAACAGGCTGGTACAAAGATTGTGGTAGAGATTTTTATCTTGGCTCATTTCAAAAACTTTCTCCCACTCCTTCACTGTCATTTGGTTCTTAATGCTCTCGGCTGTCTGTTCTTCATCTCTGAGCTCTTTCCCGCCAAACTGAGGGATGGAGAAAAAAGGAAAAATTATCATAGAAGCAGTATAAAATAGTATAAAGACCCGTCACTACAAAGAAAAACAGCTTGTACGGGATAAGCATGTATTCAAAAACGCCATGATAAAACCTGTAATCTTCTGTAATATGCACTACAGAAAAAATAAGGAAGAAACATACCTTGGAAGGTCAACTTCATCATTTGTTGACTCCATTGGATGAAAACAACTCCCTAAACTAGAAAAGCTTAATGAAAACACTTAATGGGAGCTGAGGTGGAGCTGGCAAGCACACTGGTGTACACCTATAGACCCTGTCATTTAGGACACTTGAGGCAGGAGAACTACAAATTTGAGGGCAGCAAAATAATGAGAATGTGTCTCAAAAAAAGGGCCGGAGATAGAACTCAGTGGCAAATCGCTTGTATTAATATGTGGGAGGCCCTAAGTTTAATTCCTGATATCACATACATACAAGAAAAATTCCTAAGAGGTTTATCATTTGTCCAGTGACTTTAAAAAGTTATCGCCATTGTATATCACTTTATAAGTATATGTGAAAGCTCAACAAATGAGCCATAAAAGATTGTTTTTCTGAGCCCCTTTCCATTCAACACACAGAATCAAAATAAATGAATACTTTACTCTAGAATAGCAATTTACTCCCCAGATCACTAAATTTTTTTTTTTACTTCTTCCAGGATGACAGAGGAACTCTGATAAACAAAATACAATACAGTGTGTGTATGTAATATATACTACTCTACTCCTTTACCTTTAAAAAAAAAAGGTAAAACTTTTTCCCAAGGTCAGAAGGATATGAAATGATTTGGTTTTAAGAGTGAAAAAACTGGGCATGCGGTGCATGGCTGCAATAACAGTACTCGTGGGGGCTGAGGCAAGAGGATCACAAATTCAGGTCCCACCCAAGCCAACTTAAACAAGACCCTGTCTCAAAACTTAAAAAGGCTGGGGATGTAGCTCAGTGCAAAGGACATGTGTCAATTCACAGTAGCCTGAAACTAACAAAAGAGCCAAAAACAAACAACGAAGAATTAAATCTTAACTGAACACCCTATTTTAAATACTGACAGGGTGGCCTGTTTTATAGCATGTAACTTTGTGGCAGCCCAGGGGATTTTCTCAAGCTCTGCCACTGAGATTCACCCTTGGGGCAGGGATGCAGGCCAACAGGTCAAAGGCAGAGTGAGTGCTTCCCCAGTGAAGACCTAAAGTTTAAACCCCAGTGTGCTGTGCCAGTGATTGAGACTGGGCAACGGTGGTGCAAGCCTGTAATTCCAGCACTTGGGAGCCTGAAAACAGGCGAATCGTGAGTCAGATCTATGTAATGAGACCCTGCACTAAATACGTAGGGGGGAAAAAAAGAAAAAAATAATAAAAAGACTCACACGTGGGTTGGTTGGTGCAACACAACAGGCAAGAAAGACTAGCCGGTAAGAAAGATCCCTAACACCAAGGGCTCGGAGTCCCCGAATGCCTTCTGTCTCATAGCCATCAGTGCCACTGACACGGGAATTAGTTTCTGCACGTGCTCCTGGTGTACTAAGCTTAGAGACGTCAGGTACAACAATCAGCGTCCCTGTAAAGTCACACTTGTCACCAGCTTGAGCTGACTCCACAGCTTCAGC